GCAGGCTGGCACCGCTTAGTCTGGTCCCGGGCAGCTTGCAACAGCCCAGGACCATAGCAACGTCCTGAGCCTGCTTTTGCAGGCTCAGGACACAACAATCAATAACTGATTTATGCTCTCTAAACTTCACTGAAAACTACACTGGAAGTAGGAGCGAAGGAAGGTGTCCTACTGCATCTCTAATGAGGAAAATCTTCCTCTTTAACGAGTCAAATTCGGCTTGGGAAAAAATTTATTTATTTAAATATAATAAATATTATATTTTATTAAACATATTTATTAAGTTTATATTTATTATATAATATAGTGAATATTATATTGACTTAGATCACTGTTGGCACTACGTCTATCTAATTTGTTTTGTTTGTGAGTGGGATTTTCTATTCTGCAGGTAAGCTATGTGTTAAGACACTGAATTTTCGCTATCCTGACATCAAAATGTAGAGGAGGAACCAATGAAGAATATTAAAACAGAGGCAAGACACACATCAGGACAAAGCTCTGTCTGAGCTTTGATTCAACTGAGTTTCTGTTCTCAGGCGATAGTAACAAGGAGAGGGAACTGCCTCAGATCCAGGCTGCTCTTTTTGTCCAAATTGTTTGTTGTCCATGCATTCTGTTACCTGTCAATGGTCTCTGTGTGTGCGTGTGTGTACGTGCATATGTGTATGTGAGTATGTGTTTATTATCATCAGCCTGAACAATTCACTGTAGGATGAAAAGCTCTTTATAGAAGATTATGAGCTTTAGGATGCTGTTCTGACGTGGGTTAATAAATAGAAGTTTTGCAACTTCCAAGTCTGAATGTTAGAGAGAATAATGAGTAGCCCACTTCAGCACCCTAGCTATTGCTTAGGGAGAGAGACTGAGATTATTTTACATTTCCAGTGCTGGTATGATAGATGACGAACTAAACAGTGAATAAAGAAATGCATCTTGGTAATTCACTAGCTGGTCTTACTAGTAAATAAACCATTTTTCTTTCAACTTCCTTGCCTGATTTCATCATTTTAATAACCTAGAAATGTAGAATATTCAAATCACATCTTTATTATCACCTTAAACTCCTCTTTGCACCCCCTGGTTTGTGGTATTAGAAATAATAATTGTAATCTAGTGCAGCCATGCTGAGTAAGGTGTTTCAGTGGGGGTTAATGACAAAAGAAGCATTATGTGGCTGTGACATAAGTCTTCTCTCTTTCGTATGTGCATTGTAACATCATCCACACACCCAAAAGGAAATCTTGCAGCACTATGCTGCTTTCTTTTTTTGATGAAAGTAAGAAGCTCATTGAAATATTATTTAAATGATGAAAGCAGGTTTTAGATTTTCTAGAATTCTTCTGGATATTTTTTAAAAAATATTATTATTCCCAAGCCTTAAATTTAGTCAGCTGTTCTCTGCCTAAAAAACTTTCATTTCCCAAGAAAGAAATGTAGTGCAGTACTAAAAGTAGAGAAGCTTGGAGCAGTAGCTCCTTTATAAATAATGAACTGCACCAGAATGCTGCGTTCATATAAATCTGCTGGGCAATTTCTCTCAAAGAAAAAGTTTTTAGCTCAAATTGGGCAGGAATTCAGGTGGATGTGGCTCATTAAAAAGGATTCCCTACTGACTGATTTTTACTATATTTAGTATTTCTCCTGTATCACTGTTCTATCTTTCTTATTCAGCCACTTCAACTTTTTTACCATGAAGGTAGTCAGAGCAATCTAGTTACAACACAGCAATATTTGAGAGGTTCCCATTTCACAATGGCACAATCAGAATAAAAAACACACCAAATGCATTTGGAAATGAAACCTTTTTGAAAAACACAAGCCTTATGCATCAAATGTATTTTTAGAAATATATTAATGGTGTTCTAATACTTCTCACCGAATAAGGTCAGATGTAAATAACTGATGACCGGTTTCATGAAAATCCTTTCTTAAAAAAACAATAACGGCATTTGGCAGCAAATTGCACTGGAATCAATGGGATCTGTTCTTGTTTAAGCACAGGCAAGATTAAACTGGAATCATGTGATAATGAAAAATAAATGCAATGTGATTTGATTGTGTCCCACAAGAACCAGTCACACTCTCCAATGGGAAATTCTTTTGCAACGAAACTCAGATCAAAGGCCTCTTTAATATAACATTAGAGATGTCTTTAGGAAGTTCCTAAAGCAAGCGCGGTTTTAGTTATGTAACCTAATTCTGTTTTCTGAGGTCACCCAGCTCAGGGTGTAGATAGGCCAGCCCTTAAGCCAGATTTGTGGAAATTTCCACCATCTGTGAAACAGAAATACGTGGGCTTTCAATTAGAAACTATTCCTTTCAAAACAGTCTGGCAAACTACAGTGTTTTACTCTTTTACTTTTTCAATGGAAAAAGTTTTTGCCTGCCAGAAGTGCTAAGTCCAAATGAATCCAAAATGACTGATATGCTGTTCTTGAACTTGCAGGCTCCTTGTCAAGTTTTCTTGGAGAGAAAAAAAATATGTGTACATGGAGCTGCTGCCTCTGCTGAAAAGAGCAACACTGGTTTTGTACACATACTTTACTGTTCTGACCAGATTCTTTGAGAGGAACTGCTGCTCCTTCAGTTCATCACTAAGCATCTCTGTATATCCTCAATTTTGTTAGGCTTTTTCTCCATGTATGCCATCTTGTTCAATGTTTTTCTCATTCAGTCTTCTCTACACATGCATAATTAGGACATAGGTATGCCCTTGTTCCCATTGCAGTCTAAAGAATTAAGTGAATTTTGCTTGGAATAAGAAAGAAGGCGAACATTTTGCCAGCAGTGCTGACAGTTTGGCAGGCAGCCAGGAATACACCATATGCTCCTTCCCACTCTGAAATTCAGTATTACAAAATTGTCACAGAGTATTCCCAGAGGAACCCCATTGTGCTAGTCATTCTACAAGATGCAGCTATTCAGTCCCGTAGCTAGACCAGCTGCTCCATCTTTAGAGAGGATGTGGGATTATTTATTAATCCCATTTTAGTCAATGGCTAAAGAGCCTTGCTCCCAATGTATTCAACAAAGCAGCATATGACACGCTATATATATATATATATATAAAACCTCTCGCAATCTGCAGTCTGCAGGAGAGCTGGCTTTGCTAATGTAAATACTTACATTCCAAGTACAAATGTTACAAACAGCAAATATGGGATGTAACACGGTAGCTAATTATTTGAATAAAAATATGGCCTCTCTCAATCAGCAGGAAGGCAAAGTAAACTGAATAGATTAAATCTTTTTTGAACTCAACTATCATGATTGTGTAATTGGGATACAACCATATTCTGAATATATATTTTAGGAAAGGAATGTTCAAATAAAAACTGGACGCAACTCAGTATAAATATATTTCAAATAGAAAAAAATAATCCCTGTAACGCTGAAGGACTATACAATGAGTTTTATTCATGGAAATCTTACTCTACTTGATTATCAACTCTTTTCAAAGAAACAGCGAAGAAAACTTGCTAATACCCATGCTATGGATCAGGAAGAGTGTGTGAAGGTGTGGGTGGGTGGGTGCATGAGAGGTGTGGCGAGGATCAATGAGGGTGCAAAGGGCAGCTGTGCAGGTTGATGAGAGTGCATGCGAGTGCAAGAGATTGTGCAAAAGACACGGTGAAGGTAAGAAAGAATGTGATCCAGGTCGGGGAGGTGTGCCAGAGCAGGGGTTCCCAACCTTGGCAACTTTTAAGACCTGTGGACTTCAACTCCCAGAATTCCCCAGGTCTTGACATTCGCAGGTCTTAAACTTGCCACGGTTGGAGACCCCTGTGCCAGAGTATACGGTGGGTTGGGAAGGGTCTGCAAGGATGTAGCATGGACTGAAGAGGAATGTAGTATGGATCAGGAAGAGTACACAGGTACATGGGGGTGCACAAGAAGCTGGTGTGCCAGAAGTGCTGAGAGGGGTTGAGAGAAAGTGAGCAGGTGGGGAAGCCAGCAGGGAATGTAGCAAATGGCAATCGTGTGATCGCAGGGTCCTGCAACCATTTGCAAGTGCAAACTGGTTGCCTAGTGCCCAGATAGCGATCATATGTCCATGGGGTGCTGGGATGGCTGGAACTCCGAGGACTGGTCATAACCCCCATTTGTTCAGTGCCGTTGTCACTTCAAATGGTTTCTGAATGAATGGTTGTAGATCAAGGACTACCTGTAGAGAGTAAGCACTGCAATGCATCTTTCATATACACACAACTATTTATTCCACTCCTAAACATACCCTATTCAACAGAACACTTACAATTTAATTAAATTACTCAGACACAAATGATCAGAGCAGCATCTGGTTTAAGAAAAAAAAAGCTTGTCTTCTCTGTACAATGTTTCTTCCAGTCGTAACAGACAAGAAGAACTGAACAATGACAAAAAAAGATCCAATTTCTTGATCTCATTCCCTACTTCATTTTACTCAAGTTAGGAGAGAGTCTTCCCAGTGAAGTAAGCTTTGTGTACTAAAATTAAGTTATGTATTGAAATGAATCATCTCTGGCCTGACAGATAGACTGTGTGCTTTTGGTAAGGACTTGGGCACAGGAGGGGTCAAGTAAAGTTTTCACAGTGCTGATAAATTGTCTGTATATGTTTATGAGCCATGAATCGTATGTCCTGATTCAGAACATGTTACCAGTGGATTGGATTTGGTGATAATTTCTGATGAAAATCGCCTCTTAAGAAGCCAGGGAGGGAACAGTCTCAGTACGACACCAGTGTAAGATCCATATTCAAAGGACTGATGATTCACAAGACTGTTTTCTTCAAAATTAAAGCAGCTGGTTTATAAAAAATTAAGATCTGATATACAGTAGATGTAGCGTGGCTCTGTCTATCAAATAATGTCTATGAATATAAATAAATAATGAAGGTCATGAAAGACAGAAACGCAGAAGAATCTTCAGATGTCATTTTGAATAATATTTACATGTGAAACAAACACAACAGAACCTAAACTATATACATATATATGTATCTAGAAAACAACGTACATTTTGTAGTGTCAAATCACTGATGTTAGTTGATAATGCTCGCAGCCAGTCAGCACTCTCCTGCGCTGAACAAAACTGAAGTATCCCAGTGCTAATTCCATCGAGTGCCAGTACTTCAAATGCATTAGATCTGCAGCAGGAAGAAATATATATATATATATATCTCTGTGTGTGTATACCATCGAAGAAACTATATCATCAATTCTTAGTCTTCATCTAACCCCTACAAGCTATCATTTATGCACTATAATTCCAGGGAAATGGGAATCTAGAGCCACACAATCAAGTTATGTAGGTACTGTGTGTGATTTCTACCTGAGTATTATGAAATATTATTTTTAGTTATTTATTTTTATTTTTGGATTTCAGAAGGCTGTACAATAGTTTTTAAAAAGCCCTATATGGGACAGGAGTGTCATATAGGTGCCTGGGTGGATCATACAAGCTCATTTAGCAGGTATCTTCGCACGTGTATTTTGTGTTCAGCCATCCCAGATCTCACTTCTGGGATTTGGCTTTTATTTGAACCTATTGATCCATTACAGATAGATATTACTGATAACATTTCTGGAACTAAAGGACACAGTGGCATGCCATAGATCAACTTTCCAAAATTTGAGAGGGAAAAGAAAAAAAAATCCTATTATTTATTTTAAATATATATTATTAAAATTGCATGTTTAATAATCATCCCCCATGCACTTAACAACCTTTTCATTGCTATATTAGAAATTGCTATATTATGTAAAGCTTCACAAATTGGAATACACAGAAGCACAAATGCAGCACTTATAGAAGATTTGTCTGGTAGAATTGTATGGCTACAGTGAAAGCCTCCTCACAGCAGATAGGAAAGCTGCAAAAGATAAGGTTGCTTTAATAAGTCACAGAGAGAGATGCTACATTTGGGCTCCTTTCTGTTCTGAAGAATCTCTTCAAATTGAAATCTTAAGCATTACAGCACCAACAAATATTATTTGGTGGCAAATTTGAGGAGGCTCTAAAGAGTACAGTTTAGGTTTTGAGGGAATCTGAAGGTTTTATAATCTTAGTTTATTGGCTTTCTCTTATTTCCCATCTATAATACGGATGCAGTGTAGAAATAAAATAAAATCTCTTATAAGATAAATGAAAGGAGAACTAAAACAATTATTTGCGGAACATGTCGTGTTATATATGAGTGAAACATTATGACTGAGTGAATTTCTATGCCATGCAGCTAAGTGACATGTAATTGCCATGTGATGAGATTTATCACTTAAAATTGTTCACTGCTGCATGTAAAGCAGAGATCAATAATAGAAATGTGATATAAGGTATTTGATGCTGAAGTAAGTATAATCAAGGAAAATCATAGGCAAGAAGATGATCCATTCCCTATCATTTAGATAAGAATCAGCACTTTGAACTGTACTTTGGAAATAAGCCAAATCCAGGGCTTACTAAACATTATTGAAGTGATGTCAGATTGAAGAAAACAGCCTGCTTATTGAAAGTTGTGCATTTGGAATAGCTTCGAAATACTTTTCAAGCAATGCATTACAGTCAACAGAAGCCAGATCAGAAGCTAGATTTTTGGATAATGCTCATTGCAAACTAACTTTATGCACAAGTACATCTGGGCATTTAGAAAAAAAGTCTACATATTTCCAAATTGTTTGGCTTTCAAGAAAACTGAAGTCCTATCCAGAAGAGGTTACCATTTCTCTGTTTCACTTTTGCTAACCAACAGCATTCTTACATTGGCTAAAATAAACCTCAGAAAAGTGATCCACATTCAATCCACTTCTGGCTCATCTTACTGGTTTACCTCAACTGATAAGAATATCGATGGATATTATCTATACAATGACATCACCTGGAATACTTCCAACTCCCAAAAGATTTAATATATCATATTGGTTAAAAACCATGGAAGATAAGAGGCACTCAAGAGCTCCTATAACTTGAAAGCAAAGGGTCCAACTAGCAATCTCTCTGTCATCAGCCTCAGACATCTCAAAGAGCATCTCAAAACAGCGCCCCTAATTTTCAGCGTAGAAAGCCTGAAACAAAGCCACGTTCAATTACATCTAAAGATGTTGAAAGGCTAAGCAGAAGCAAAAGTGTAGCTCATTCCCTAAGGTGACCAACCAATCCAAAACCCAGCCTTGAACACCGAAGTTTATCCCTGCAATAAAAATTCCCAGTTAAGGAGACTGATTGGATTTAATTCCTAATACAATTAATATAGTGGCTATATATTTTATCTTAACAGCAGCATACACACTTGCCACTTGCCAGTTTTATATTGAACTTATATGGCCTAGCTAAGGAGCCAAACAGGATCATCCACAGCTTTTCTAATTTTAAGGAAATTCTGCTTTCTACATCTGGATGTTTGATGCTTAATGTTCCAATGTTTAGTGATTTTATTTCATTTTTAATCTTGATATAATTTTTCTGTCTTCTTCTTTTTTCTTTCCTGGAATTGCCATCTGTCATATATGCTTTTGCCTTCTTATTTCTACTAATAAAATATCTCAGAAATAGATTTCTGATTCAGTATAGATCCCTCTTTTCTCTCATTATGCCTATAAAATTATAATAAATTATCTTGAGTTTTCAGGTGAAGTCTAAGCATATTTCACCCTGCTCATATGTGAATCTAGAGCTCTGTTTATCCCCATGCATCCTCACAGACAATATGGATACCAAGTCTCTCAGGTCATCACTTCCTGATGTTTACTGCAGCTGCAATATATTTTTCACACTTATTTTATCAATTCCTTTGTCTGTTTTGGTATCCAAAGCATCTATTTATGCTCATACACTTTAGTAATCAGATAAGCATTTCTCTTCCGTCTGTGTCATAGTGAAAGGCAATAATTCCTAGAACAGGATAACATAGTCAATCTGTAAGAAGTTGCTTTAATTAATGTTTCATTCCTTCTAAATACCTCATATTGTATGACTCTCCCCCACCCCAATAAATTATATCTGGACTTATTGCAATCCATTTCAAAATAATATAAACAGCAGGAATGAAACTGATATGAATTAAATGAATATGAAACTGATATAAATTAAATGAATGAAGTATTTTTCCTTCCCTAATAATTTTAAATATATCTTTAAATAACTTTAAATATAAAAATGTCAATTCAGCCAATTGTCAATACAGTAAAAAAGGCAACTTAGTTCTTACCTGCAATGGATAGATATTTAGATCACAGGAAAATAAAGGTGACCAAATAGTTTGATTAAATCTCACTGAACTGTGAAACTGCTTTTAAGGATCAGATACATGAGTTACAAAGATAACTATGTTTCTAACAGGAGAAAGAACAGTCAGTTGGTGGGCATACTAATTACTCTTATTAGGCTAAAACATCAAAGCTTAAAATCTTAAAATCAAAACATCAAATCTCAGAAACAAAAATAGAGACAACACTCACCCAAGGTGGTGAAGATGTCAGCTTAAGATTTATTTAAGATTTATTTCTTCATTTATTCTAAATTATTTAGAAACTGTCTATTTACTACAATAAAAACAATGATTTAATTTTTTTTAATAATAATCTTCTTAGCACATAAGAATGAGGAGGAAAATGAGTAATTCCCCTAAGGCCACTTATTTAATGCATTGCGCATACACTGCATTTATCTTAGCTTTCTAGCCAGATTGATAGGTCAATGTATTCAGCATGAAGATCCAACATCTGTCTCTTGGTCTTTCCTCAGCCATAAAATTACTAACCATATCTAGATTCATTTCAAAATTACCAGATTGCCCAGCCATTTTACTGCAGATTAATTCTGAACCCCATTTCCCAAGGGACCCTGGTATTAAAATGCTTCAACTGAAAAGTAAGTTGCCTGTTTTTCGTAACTAAAATAAAAATGGTCAATTACCTGCCAAATGCTTCTTTGCCCATGCTATTTGCTTGTATGAATGCTATTTACATTAATTAATATAATTATAAATAATGCCACAAATATTTATGCACCATCCAAATACATTTATGCATCTGCTTCCCACTGTGTGCAAGACTCTATTTGTAAAATATGAATTTCCTTTCTCTTTGTGGTTTATTTCCCCAGTCCAAAATCTATCCTAAATAATTTTTCAGACTTTTTTCCCATTGTAATACATTTCCCCCCCACTTGATTATGGATTTTTATGGAAAAAGAAATGGCAGAATTTCCAAAGAAGCTTTTACAGGTATCAGGATAAGCAAAAATGCCATAAACAAATTGTAGACAAAACCATTTTGATGGGGGAAATTACATCTTTTTTCCAAAGAAGAGAGGCTATATATGATACAACTTGTTATCCATTGCTTGACAATATTCACACTAGTGAAAATTTAATTGAATAACAGATGAACTCATACAATTAATCAATTAATATCTGTTTAAGCAGTTGACAGCTTTAAGGCTGGATACTTTTTATTCTGCTTATCAATTCAAGCATGTATTGTTAGTCAAGCTTTGACTAATTTTAGCAATTTAATTATTTATTTTCTTTCAGTGACACTGAGCAAACATGGTACTTTCTGGCTGCATGGCCCATACCTTGAAGTAGCAAACCTGATTCCTAACACACTTTGCTGAAATAAATTAATTGTATAAAATAATAAATAAAATAATAAAGGTAACAGTGCAGCACCCTTGCACTGGTGGTAGTAATGTTCTTGGTATTGCAGGTTCACATGTTAACTAACTATGCCAAGATAAGTATAAATCAGTGGGCATGATAATGGGATATATTCAATTATCATTCTGCTCTGCCAGGTTTTTTGCAAATTATTTTACCTAGAAAAAGATAATGATTTTCTCGTACTGAACTCAATTCCTGTTGATTCCATGGACATGCCATTTAGTTCTCCTGGCAACCAGGTATAAGAGGTTTATCACTGTCTTCCTTCAGATAGATTTTTTTCAACTTTCCAGTCTACACCTGTCTCCTGGGATTTCCCTTTCAAGTAATAATAAGCTCTGACCTTTCTTACCTTTTTAACAGGCACAAACAACAATGCAACAGATGTCCTACTAAATATCCTATTAATCAGAGGCATCCACCTGACCCACTTTTATCATTTGTCCCCCCACTTCCCACACTCTGCTTTTCCCAGTGGAAGAGTTTCC